TTTCAAGGAACAAAATGCATCACATGAAAGTTTTTTCCACTTTATCATATATCTTTCCTCCAAAACTCTTGATATATAAATATTTAGATATTGTTATCCTCCATCAAAAAAGATATATATATATATATATATATATATATATTTTGCAAATTTTGCAAATTGATAAAAACTTTGAGAAACACATTGGTAAAAATAGATTTAGTGAAAAAAGCAAACAGGGTTAATTTTAAGTATATAACCTCAATTGTTTGATCTTTATAAGAACTGGAAACCTGAAGATTTAAAATCTGCTTCCGAACTAAAAACTTATCAGTATACGGTCATTTTCCTTAGTTTAGCCTGATTAATTTAAAAAAAATAAAAATAAATTATTGGGTCAATAGCTCCTTTTGAAGAAAATGTAGACTCAACCTATGTACATGATTTGAAAAGATGTGAAAATTCATCAGCAGTGTGGCTAGAAAAGTAATATATTATTATATATTCTAAAGAAAAGTTTATTTTCAATATATCTAAAATCCTTTAATACTGGCATAGAGAACTTGTCAAAACAAAAAATGGTACCAAATTTATCTTGGTAGCTCAGTTAGCAACAAAATTATAACCATCCAAATTTTGGTAGTTTTCAGTCTCGTGCTATTGGATGAGAAGTCGATTTTGAAAGTGTATAACTGAAGATGCAGGTTTCAGATTAGTTAAAAAATCATAAGTCTATTATCATATAGTCTTGAAGCAAAAAAAAAAAAATATAGTACTAACAGAATCAATAATTATTTGATCAAACCAGCCTAAACATTGGAAAAAAAAATCACATTCTCAAAAACAAAATAGTTAAGACATAACATATTAGGATAATTTTGACTGATTATATGTTTCATTTTAACAGTTATATCAAAGTCCCATCTAAAGACAAATGCTGATGCCACTTGTGCAATATCATCCAACAAAGTCTATCAAAAATAATTTCTGCCTTTAGTTGGTACTAAAATTTTGATTTACTGTACTGGATGGAGATGTAATATCAATGACTTGTTCAATGTAAAAGTTGGAGTAATGGTATACTGCAGCCCATTGACCTTGGCACTTGTCACTGAAGGTCATTTGAAGTGGCTTTTCTTCTTCCCTTTGTTCCTTTAGAGATAGTTCCATTAAAAGATATATCAGTAAAATGTCTATTCCCTTCATCATAGTTTTTAACTTTAAGCATAGAGAATTTGTGGTTTTCTTCAGCATTATATATATCACTTACAAGAAAACTACTTCTCTGAGCATTGAACAGATAATTAAATGTAAATTTTATTAATCACTAGAGTAGCGGTCTCTGGCACTAATACATAAAAAAAAAAAGAAAACTACTATTAAGGGAGTACAATAAAAGAATAAGAATTAAAGCAGAAGATAATGAATGGCATTGCATTTAAATTTTTGAAGATCAAAGTTTATTGGAAAGCAAGAAGCCGGAAGATTTCAACAAGTTTCAATTTTTTAGGGAAAATTAAGCTTATCCAGTTCACTTTTCTAAACTTTTTTTTTTTTTTCTAAACTAATTTTTTTTTTTTTTTTTCTAAATTCATTTTTTTTTTCTTTTTCTAACCTCATTTTTTTTTTCTAAACTCTTTTTTTTTTTTTTTTTCTAAACTCCTTTTTTTTTTCTAAACTCTTTTTTTTTTTCTAAACTTTTTTTTTTTTTCTAAACTTTTTTTTCTAAACTCTTTTTTTTTTTTTTTTTACTAAATTCTGTTTTTTTTTTTTTTTTTTTTTTTTCTTCTTCTAAATGTTTTATTTTTGAACTGAAAATGTGAATAAATTTTCAATTTAATCCCCAAATCCCAAAATTAGAGAAAATATTACCAGCCACTGAATCAAATGATATGAATGACCATTAAAAGGAAAACTGGGCACTTTTAAGAACTAAGAATATTGCTAATTTATGTATTTATTTTTCTGTTTTAGAATATGAATTTTGTTTATGCATTTTCTTAAAACATTAAAGTAATTAGAAAAGGTGAAAGTAATTCAAGCATGATAGTTTGGACCAATTATAAGTACTTATACAGTTTTAAAATGTATCATTAAAGAAAATGTAAGAAAAATATCGATTAATATCCATTAATGAAACAAATCGAATTTAAAATGAGGTTCATCTGATAATGTTTATTCACTTGGTCAGCAATACAAATTTCAGTGCATTGAACCCAACTGTTTTGCATGAAATTATCTAAGTGTACTCTCTTTTTGACTTGCGTTGTGCTTTGAGTTGTATGGGTGCAGAGATATGAAACAACTGATTGATAAAGATGAAACATTGCTCTTTAAGGAGGTGTAATTTTCATTTATTTTAAGTGTTGAAATCCTCTGGTATTTTATCCAGTAAAGTTATCAGTTGAGAAATTTTTTTTTTTTTTTTTTTTTTTGAGAAACAACTTCAAACCTTATTGTTCAACTACCAAATTGATGAGTATCCTTTTTTTCTCTAAGATGGGATTATTTTTATTTGTGTCTAATGGCAACAAGTTTTAAAACCACAACTATGAAATTGTTAACTTTGAAAATGCAAAAAAGTGCCGTCATTGAAATAGTGACCTAATTTAAAGAGATGTGGAATAAAAACTAATCGTTACATTCATATGATTAAAGTATTGTATCTTTAGAAAGAGAAAAGATTAATTTTTTTTACATGCTAATTTTATGAAAATAACCTTGAAAATAAATAAGAGATCAGCAGTTGAAATGGAAGGAAATTTCACTAGTTTGACACATTTTTGCACTCTAAACTATAGCAGTTTGGGATACCTAATATTACATCTTGAAGTAAGACTGATTTTATTTCCATCTCAACTTTAGCATATTTGATTCAACTTGACAACTACTTTGGAAAGGAAAAAAAATTGTCAGGAATTTTAGCTTTTCCAGTAATTGTATTAATTAAATAATTCTAGAGAAGGCTAAGCAAATATCAAATTTACAATTTTTCTTTTTTTACCTTGTCAAAACAATTTATTTCATATGTATATGACATGGAAATATGTAAAACTTTGTTCAAAGGATTTTAACATTTCATGCATTTTCTCTTGACTATGTATTTAGCTTTTATGTTAATATTATCTTAAAATATTCAATGATTATAGTACATATATTCTGTGATATATGAGCTTTCAAATATTTTATAAACTTTCAGATTTTATCATTCAAGTCAATGTTTTTATGGTGAAATCTTGTCAGTGTTGGCAAACTTCTCTCAAGATATATTTGAGGAATATGTCAGGAGTTTCAACTTATCAATATTTTTAATAAAGTTAGATATTACAATATATTGTTTGGGAGTTGTCCAATTTTATTATGTAACATAAATTGTTATATATAAATAAATCCAAAAGATATTGGCATCAAAATATATTTAATACAATATCCTATACATTTGAATATTTTATTATTTTACATGTTAATGTAACCTTCATCAGTCTTAAATTTTCTACTGTTTCAATTAAAATTATTTGGCATTGCTTTTTTATTTATTTCTAAATATGAGCTTTCAACGAATAGTGTTCCCAGTCCCATATAATTCTTTTAATGATGGATTACAAATTTTCAATTAAATTAATATTTGGATGACAATCCATTAAAGTTGTTGTTTTTGACACAGTAAATAATAGTAAACTTTGCAAAATTTAAAGGAATATGATCTTGTGTAAATGTACTCAAAAGCTTTTTGATCTTGTGTAAATGTACTTAAAGCTTTTTGAACCATTCAAAATATTTATTGTCCATGAACTTACAGTAATTATTTTGATACAATCATCACCTTTAGTAGCCCAAAACATTACTCTTTTACACTTTTTTTTCTAAGTTGTGTTGGTTTATTATTTATGTGAAGGAATCAACCCAGCAAATGTAGTTCAACATTCATCATTTAAAATTACTGATGCTGAATCAGTTTTCATGTCCTTCATCACCATCATACATTTTTACTAAAAGGTGGTAGTTTGGTTACTTTCATGTCTTTATTCAATGTTCTTAATATTCTGCATCTTTTAACTATTCACAACATCAGCTTCCTCAAATATTTTCTTACTTTTTATCTGAAATGTCTTTTTCATGACTTTCTTAAAGCCAGTTTTTTACTTGTTCTTTCCAATGTTACAATTTCTTTTCTCTGATTTTTCAACTTTTTTTGTAATTTCCAATATTGTGTTCTCATAACTTTTTTAATATCATATTTTTCTTTTAATGCTTTGTGCAGCTCATGACAATCTTTTTATATTTGAAATTAAAATAGAAAATAACTATACTATTATAAATATATATCTACAATATGATGACTAATCCTTGAGTTATGTAATAAAAATTACACTGACAAATAATTTATTGTGAATATTTAAAATAATAAGTAAGCTGGAATTTACATATAATTTATCATATAAATATCCTGAAATTTTTTACCATTATCAATTTTATTGGGAAAGCATTAGCCTGTGTAGTAAAAATCTGACATTCTGTATAAGTAATTTTCTTCAATATACATGTTATTATCTTATACATTTTTATTGTTTTTGTGCTAAATTGTTCTAAAACTTATTCTCGGAACCTTTTGTATTTTATTATGATTATTTATTTTTTATGTAATTTTTCCTTGTTTTCTTACTCAATGTAAGTTAGATCTCAACTAAAAAATCTGATAGTAAGATGTAAGTAAAAAAATATTGGTACATCATTTTTTTTTATTTAAAGAAATCATTCCAAGTGTGGAAAATTTATTTAAAAAATTGAATAAATGTGAATATGATATATGAAGAAAGATTCATATTTTTTATTTTATTAAACTGTGTACAGTAGTCTTTTTTTTTTTTTTTTTAACTTGCGTACATACAGGAGATCTGTATTTAAGTATATTGCTGGAGTAGGTTTACACATTGTCATTTTGCTATTGTGCAGCCATTTATTATTCTTTAGATTTTTACATGATTTGTTTGATAATTAAAAGTATCAATTTTGCATTGTAGATCCTGATGATCCAGAATACATTCGTCAAATGCAGCGACCTGCTGTTGTGAAGGAAGATGTTAAGCAGATGGAAGACCGCAAACGTGTCTCAATTGTGCTTAACAGTGAAGCTTTTCGAGAGGAATTGGAACAAATCATCCATGAGCACATGAAGGCTGGGAATCACCCAGCAAGTTTGGCACTACAGCAGATCACAGAGCTCCTACTGCCACACTCTAATCTGCGCAATAATGGAATAAGAGGTAAGCACTCTTTTGTATCTTTTTCTCACACACACTCCCACACACTTTAGTTAAGGACCTAAATTCTTTCGATATTTCAAGGTATAATCACTCGGTAATGCAAACAGTTTATATTCCTATTCCAGACTAAGTTTAATAAAGATACCTCAAGGAGTACCTTTTCAAAGATCCATTTTCTGTTTATTTGTTAAACAGAATGTACAATTTGGCTATATGGAAATTACAAAATCATTATCAATCCTGTTACCAAGCTGGGTAATTACCCTACCCAAGACTATGCAACATTAGGAGAATCTTATATCAATTTGAATATCAATTAAACTATCAAGCCTAACTATTGGACAAGGAATCCAAGAAGGTCAGCATTTGCAAAAGACTCTTAGTGTTTGTGTAATAGCTTGAAATCTGCACCTGGAATTTTCCAAGGAACAATAGAAAATTTCTGGAACATATTTCAAATGTCATTGTTAGGATAGATGACATTATTTGGACAGGACATTTCAGGGAGTTTCACTTATCAACTTTACATCAGGTATGGCATAGGTTCGATAAGTTTGGAGTGTATCTCAAACACAAGATGCAAATTCTTTGTCCCAGATGTGATTTTATTGATGTCATAAGATAAAGAGATGTAATACAACCAGCTGAAGACTATGTACAGGGTAACAAAATTTGGGGAATTTTGAATCATTATGCATGTTACATTCCAAGTGTCTCCAATATTGAAGAAAGCAAAATTGAAATGAACCCTCCACAACACAAGCTAACATAATGCCAAGGATGCAACTCTAAACAATTATTAATGTATTTTGATTGAAACAAGTGCCTAATGATGCTTCACCATATGTACTGGTTCTGGTGTTGTCACATGAAGAAGATGCCTCTGAGATAGCCATTGTATTTGTACCTAGCACCTGTAAGAAAAAAAAAAAACTTCTCAAATCAACAAGGTGATTGTGGACTATAAATGGTGTTTAAAAATTTCACCAACATTTGTATTGTTTTATATTCAAGTTGTATGCATACAATAAGCTTCTTTCTCGGATTTATTATACAGCAGAGCAGTCTGCTTACTGTAATTTCAAAATTTCCTAAGAAAATTATGCTTTTTCCAATAAATATTTGCCATAAAAATTAATATTTTAAGTTTGATTTTTATTTCACCTTCTTACACTAACTTGGATTGTACAAATCAGTATAACCAATATTGGCTTTTGCATGAGTGTCCCCTGAGTTTTGTGAAGTTGTTTCATTTTTTTTTGCCTATTGGCTAATTATCTTAGGATTAATAAATTTAATTCACTTTTATTTTTTTTATTTTTTTAATTTTTTTTATTATTATTATTATTATTCACCTCTTCAGCATCTCCGGTCATTCCAATTCTTGACATCAGAGGTATGGAATCTTTGGGCTACTCAAGGCAAGAGAAGATACTCCGTTGTAAGCTAGCTGCCTGTTATCGTTTGGTAGACCTCTTTGGGTGGTCACATGGAATTTACAATCATATTACCGTAAGTAGCCTTTGATGTTTGTTATTGCAATTAAGTAATTAAAGCTTTTATTCTGCTAAATGACAAACTTCTTGCAATTTTTTTAAAAGCATAAAGACTTTTACAAATTGTAAATATCATTCAAGTATTATAAATCACCTGAAGCACAACTAAAAGTAATCACCATTAGAATTGACAATGTTGCTAACCTTAAGGCTTGTAGATAGTGCTAATCAGTAGGGGACAGAAAAGTGAGCTAGGGCTTTGTTTTAATGCCATCAATTTTTGTCAGGTGGTTTTTCATTAATCAGTAGCAGCATTGATTATGTCATGGTCACTTCATTACTGCTGACCAAAATATTTGCAACATTTGATGTATCAGTTCCATATGATGACAATAAGAATCTGCCATGGTAGATTATAAGATTACTCTATTAATGTACTACCAAACAGTCAGAAGGATCTTTCGAGAGTGAAGATTTGGTTTTAGCAAAGTACCTATTTCTGCATTTTCTTTATTTTGCTTATTTGTGCCAGATGTTTTTCAACTGTTGTAAGAGCTAATGCCAGCTTTGCTCCCAAAGTCAGTTTTTGTTTCTACCTCAATGGCTGCTCACAGTTCTTCATCATTGTGTGATGACTTGTTGACAACAACCAGGCTCCTACTAGAGTTCCAGATCATCATAAGTGAATTTTTTGAAACATTACTTTTTTTCTGATGCTAACTCCAGTCCTCAAGCACTGTTGATGTTGCAGTTGGTTTTGCTGCACAATAGTCAAAGTTGAAATCATGGTGTATGACACAAAAATTGCATTTAGTCATCTTTATTTTAGTACTTTATTATAACAAGAATCAAAGTAATAAAAAAAAACTCAAACAATCTTAAAGAAACATTAAGTTTTAGAATTAGAGACATAGATATTTGAATAAACAAGTGAACAAAAACTGATTGGAACAAAATAAATGCCAGGTTTTGCATTATATTTGTGCAATCTAATAGTGATAGTTATTCTTTTAATTTTAGTAATAATGGCTTTTGCCGATTTTATCATCACATATGATTTGCAAGTGACAAGGTTAAACATTTTATTTTTCTTTATAGCTTAAGAGTAATGGTAGGTAAATAATTATTTTATTGAAAATGAAAATCTCCATTTAAAAATATAGAAGCTCATTTTTCTTTATTTTTCTGCCTTTCTAAATATTAATTAATATTTCTATAATTAATTAATTTTTCACTTTGTACTAGATCTTTATATTTTCTCAATCAGAACTTTTTCACTCCTTTTTCAAAATGAAAATTTATTTAAAAAAAATGTGAAACAAAACCTTACAAATATTTGCTTAACACTTGTCATTATTCAATAAAACATTTTAACAACCATATTTTCAATATCTAGTAAATTGATGTAAAAATGCATGAATGATTATTATAGTGTATGTTTGGGTTATTGTTAGTAAAGAAAAAAAAACAAACTAAAAATGGAAGATTTAATATTGATATAGGCACTTGTATGTCTGTATTCAACTGAAATATTCAGAACTATATACTTGGTAACTACCCCTTCCCCTTCAAATTGATTTTATCTTTAAAATGACTTTTTCTTTAGTTTTCTTTCTTTCTGTATAAGATGGTTATTATACATTTAAATCTTGTTTTGTTTGTTTGCTTAAAACTTTTTTAATCATTGGCCTATATATTCTCAGAGAGGTTTTCTTTTTATAACATATTTCAGTAAGACATTGTACTATGGGTTTATCTCTATATACTGAGAGATTTCAGGAAAATTACTGTTAAAAAGTGTGTGCATATGATTTTTTTCTAGTAACTGTAGGTCATGCAGTTTGATAGATTTAAAGATTCTGAATAGTTTATTCTTTTTATATTTTCAGAATTATAAAAAAAAGTAACTGAAAAAAAAAAAACAATATTTAAAACATTTTTCTCTGTGCGCTTTATTTTCATCTTGGTGTACTCTTATGTAACATTTGATATGCATACCTAAATAAGTATTTTGAAACCTGGCAAATATGTTTTATTTGATAATGTTAGTAATTTGAATTTGTGTGTGTATGTATGTAAACATTTGGTTAAAAGAGCAAAGAAATTTTTTTAACAGTTTAAAATTTATTTTTGTGTGGCTTGGACCATTTTTCTGATTTGAATTGCTGCCAAATATATATATATATATATATATATATATATATATATATATATAAAGAGAATTTGACAAAAATAGCAAATATATGACAATTTGGAAAACTTATTTTGACATGTTTTGCCAATAAATTGTCTTCATCAGTAAAAGAATTTATTTCAAACTTGAAATAAAATTCAGACTGATAGACATAATAAACTCCTTAAACTGTTTTATAAGTAAAAATGGGGCGTCTTTCAAATATAAAATGTTCACTATAATTTAAAGTAATAAAAATATCTGATTAAAAACAAATCCATTAATTCTTTAGAAATTGCTTTGTTTATTTTTTAATAGGAAATTGAACAGTCATGGGTTTTTGAGAAAAATAATCTGCACAAATTGAAGTCAAAATAAACTCAATTAAAATATGTTATTGAATGTAACAGACTTTTGCTGCTGGCTTACAAGTAAATTACTTCAAAGGAGATGGTAAAAACTAGATTTCAGGATAATAGAATTTTAGATATCTGATCCATTAACATTTACTATTACAGTATTATGGAATTAAGCTTAGTACAAGTACTGGTAGTCTGTGATGTCTGGGTAAATATTCACTTACCAAATACCTGAACTTATATATGGCCTGCTGGGGTCTTATACATTATTAAATACAGTATTTTAATTCTTTGATTGTAAACTTGTGTGTGTGCTTTTTTCATCTGAGAGTTGTTATTTCAACATGTTATTTGCCTTTTTGCAGCCTTTTACTAAAAAAGAATGAAAGAAAGGCTGTAAAATATCTTTCAATAATAAACATTTATATGTATTAGAAGTATCTTGGACATCCAATGAAGTTAAGGAAGCACAAATTGTAGCTGAATGTCTTTTGTCTCCCTAGTTATTTTCTAAAAGCTCAACAAATGTCAGTTTGTATTGAATCAACTTTTCATTTATTTTTAAACATGTTTTATCACTAGATAATAAAAGGTTTTGTTAAAATACACAATTCCTATAAATTGATTCTTTTTTTTAATCCTGTGTAGAATATTGCTACATATTACTACTCAGTTTTAATTTTTTTTTCTCTACTAACATCACAATCTTTTGTCAGTTTTATTTTAATTTCACTTCAGCAGCTGTTACCATTGCCATGAGCTAACTTGCTAGCAAGCAAGTTGGTTGTGCTTTGTAAGCTTTATGCAGATATGACTAGAGGTGCCCTTGTTTTAACCTTTCTCATTTTCATGATACTTTGTTAATGAGTCATAATTTTACAAATGATAGGTAAATTGTTTGTTTAAAAACATATTCATTGTCAGCAAAGAAATTTACACACTTTCAGATTGTATTAAAATTTGTTAATTAACCATTTAATTAGCTGCCTATTTTTGTCTGTTCTAAGCCATGTGTAGCACCTGCACTAGAGATATATTCCTCTGTGTTGCTCAGTACTTTGAATAATGGATTAAACTTTTGGAGGTTTACAGTTTGTGTAAATATTTTTCTCTCAATATTAACTAATTCTCTCATTTTGCAATTTTTATATTCATTATTACTGGGAAGTAATATCTATGTAGAGTTTTTACATTATATTATGGACCAAAATTTGGTATCAAGGCTCATCTGGTAAAGATATTGTCTTTTGCTAGTTGATATGTGATGAATTTTGATTTGAAGTAATTCATAGGTATCTGGGCAGTGGATAAAAATTTAATATTCTATATGCATTATGATAGAACCATTCAGATATACTCTTTTTTAGCTCTGAATTGAACAATAAACTGGAGATTCATTTTGTTGCAAGGTAATAAGTTAGAAAGTTAATGTCTAATAAATTATGACTGCAATTTGCGAATGAAATTTATTACATTTAATTTTGATTAAATTTTTCATGAGGTGAATAGAGTAAAGATCATTAATTTTTCTATATATTAAATATTGATTAGAGGCTACAAATTAAATTTTGTAATGCCAAGAACATTAGGCAACTCACTTGACATACTATTTAGCTATATAAATTTAATAGATAACCTTCATTTTGTAAATGAAGTACAAGGCCTTAAAACAGAAGAAACAATTAGAAATGACTTATTTGTAACCAAGTTTCTAATAGGTCAGTTGCTTAGCATATTGTCTGTATTTTAATTTTCGTTTTTGGCAATGTTACTGTTAAAGATATATCACTATGTACTTTCAGTCATAAAATTTAATATTCAAACTTAAAAGTTAAAATGAGTTGGTACTAAAACATTTATTATAAACTTTATGGTACTATATGACAAAAATACTGTGAATTTTGCGACTGCTTAAGGTGGGAAAATCATATACACTGAATTGAAAAAAGTATTCCTTAAATTTAATCTGTCTATTTGTCCTTTATTTTTCATTAGCTGAACCAAATTAGAAAAAGCTTTTTTGAGATTTTTCATTCAAATGACATTACTTTAACTTTTTGTTTAGCCTTCATTAGAACTCAAAAGTCAGTTCTATTGTAGAAATTACATTTTTGTGTTTATTAGCTTTCTCACAAGAACAAATAACCTGATCAGGTTTAATGTGGAGCCTTAGATTACATACTTGTTTATCCAAAATTTCATTTTGATTTCTCTTTTTAATGGGAAGGCAGAAATACCAAAATTCAAAGTCTTACATTCTAAAATTGCTAAACACTTACCAAATATGTTTAAAAATAGAATTGTGGCAATTAATATTTTTAATTTTTTACACTTTGCTCTGTTCACAATTTGAGAAAACTGTGCAAAAATAATTTTAGAAACTCTTAAAACATTTAATTTGAGAATCAAGAAGAAACTATATTAACTACACTCTTAGATTTGATTATACAAGTTGATGTTTTCACAATAAAACTGGTATTAACCAACTAACCAATGTTGGCAAAACTTTCAGGATATTCTTATATTTGTTGTTCAACAAAATTAAACCGAACACAATATGTTAATTCTATCCAGTGCATTGAAGACCTTAAGAAAAATAATCATATCTTACAAACAGCTAAATTTATTGATATAAAACTTTGTACACAGATGCAGTAAAGGTAGGATTACATGTTTATTTGATCTGCCTTTAGCTGCAGTGATGATTTCAATATGGGACTGGAATCATTGACATACATTCATCACATATTCTGTATTGATATTTTGTTGTGTAAGCTATTTGAAGAAGTGTGCAGTTATGTAATCAGAGCATCAATGGTGAACCATGGACAATAAAAAATAATTTACAACTGAGCTGCTGATGATCTTTTATCACTTCTCTATTGAGAATGTGCTGGTGTACTACATCACTGTTTAGTAGGCCAGTTGCCCAGCAGTGCACAAGAAAAACCCTGCTCCAAGATTATAGATGTTACTTAGATTGGCTGCTTGCTGTTCTCTTTGGAAGGCATTTCCAATTCTTATTGTTGCAGCAAAGCAGAAAGCATAATGAAAGCGATGTATCCTGGGTACCACTTGTTGGAACTGTTACTTTCAAGAAAATGTTTTAGTTTTAGGACAAAACATTACTACTTTTCTTTATTCAAAAGTATTTTTCTTTTGTGTGTGTATTAGTGCACCTGTGGACTGCTGTCCAATTTCATTTTGCATTTCAGTTTCAAGAAGAATAAATAAATTTACACAAAGTTATGTACTGTTTATCTCTGTCCCTCTTGCCTTGTGAGTGTCAAATTTTCTAAACTGTCTTTTCTCGTGCTCTAGAAATTTTGACTGTGTCTTTCTGATTCTGAGTAGAAATGTCTTTTTTGTTTCCATTTTCCTTAAAGCTTCATTACTTAACATGTCCTTAGTATTCTCATCATCCTTCTGTAAAACCACAAGCTTCAAGCCTCTCCTTCTTTACCTGTAAGGAGATTGTCCAGCATTTAGTGATATATAGGTGGATCAATATTAAATAATATTTTAGTACTCTTTTCTTTGTTTCTAATGAAAATTTCCAGTTTCTTAATACTTTAAAAAGGTAATTTTGGAAGGCATCTTTCACTATCCCAATTCATTGTTTGGATTTTGGTATCTCATTTTTTGTCTTCCATTAAAACGCTTCCTATATTTAAATTTTTGTACTTGTTTAATTTTGGTATTTCCAATTTGTAATTCACATGTTGGACTGTTTCTTTTTGTTTTCTTGCAATTGATGTTTAGTCTTTTTTTTTTTTTTTTTTTTTCACACTTTGCTTTACTATCTTCTGTATGAATTCTTGTAGTTTCCTTTCTGTGTTTGCTATCAATACTGTCTCATCTGCATATTTCTTATTATTGTGGCCATCAATAATGGATCTTAGTAGAACTTCTAATTCTCTCTTGTTTTCTGCCCCATTCTGGTCTGGTAGCCTCTCATCAGACATATTCAACATTCACAGTGAAACAATTTTGAATTTTTTTTTGTGCTTCACTCCCAATATAAGTTCTGGATATTTCTCATCTCCTTCCCAAATAAATCCATCTTATCTAGCATTTCCAAGAGCTCTTTGTGGCGTACTTTATCAAATGCTTTTGCATAATCTATAAAACATAATAATCTTTTTGCATTTGTATTGCTTTTTCTGAGTATAAATATCACATTCCTTGTTTCAGTATCTTGAATGAAACCAAACTGTTCTTGTCCTTTTTGGGTTTTGCTACACACTCTATTCATTAGTATTGATATAAATTATGTGGCTTATTTGGCTGATTGTCCAATGGAGTTCACATTCATTTGCATCTAGTTTCTTAGGTAGCACTATGAAATGGATCTACTTAGATCTTCCAGTGTATCACCACCAATTATTATGCTTTATTTTAAATTTATTAAGACTTTTTTTTTTTTTTTTTTTTTTTTTTTAAATTTAATTTTCCATTTTGACATTAAATTTTATACACCAGATATATTCACTCTTTTGATGAGTTGGTATTACTGTTAAAGGATAACTTTCTACATGGAAGTTATTTTTGGAGCACTTGGTTTTTTGTGCTAGTTTTATGATTTTTATTATAGTCCTTCAATCATAATAGCCTTATATTGCTTTGGGGAGCCCTATTGCCCATAAGCAATATGTCCGCATATTTCTTGAATGATTATTCTAGCTGAAGATTAAAATTTCAAAAATTTCTTTTTTTAATTAAAGAATTATAATTAACTAATTAGCTTGTATTCAACATCTGTGATTGAACAATTATTACAATATTTGCTAACATGAAAGGTCATTTCTGCCCTAGTTTAAAGTTTTCCTTTCAGGTGAGTGATAAGTATCACAGATTTAGATCACTGCTTTCATTTTTTATTTTATTTTTATTTTTATTTTTTTATTACTACACTAATTTCATCAATGTTATTTTCATTTCTTCTAAATTAAACATGAAAGATTTATCTTATTCTATATTTATTATTGCAAAAATAACTTTTTTTTTTCTTCAGGCTAGAATCAACCAAGAGGAGGAACATTTTCTGATTAATGCTTTTGGACTAATGTATGCTGAACTTACTGCTTCCTCTCTAGTCAAGGTAGATATGCAGGGAGAGATTGTTGACTCTGGCTCCACAACTATGGGCATCAACAAGGCAGGTTTCACACTCCACTCAGCCATCCACCAAGCCAGGCCAGATATCCGCTGCATTATCCATCTTCATACCCCACCTGTTGTTGCCGTGAGTTCAATTTTCAAACTTTTGTAACCATAATAATTACTACATATTGAAATGAACACATAAAAAATGTTTTCCCAAAACTAATCTACTCATTCATCATTGCTTTCAATTATTGGTTCTAATTATGTTTTTTGAATTACTCTTTAAAAGATCTTAATAATAAAAGATGAGGGCAACAGTCTGAAAAATGTAAATATAAATAATTACAATACCTCATCACATATAGACAGACATGTATAAATTGTAATGAAAAGATTTTATATTTGTCAAAAACTATTTCATTGATCAAATGTGAATTTGTTTCAGTAGTGTTCTGGATAAATCAGAGGTAGAATCCATAACTGATGCTCAAGTATATATGCCATTTAAACAGTCTACTCATGTAGGAAAACAAATATGAAAAGCATGTATAAATTATTTGCATTATTTACATTGTTTGGACTGTTGTCCTCATCTTTATTACCATGTTCACAGCGTTTTGGACGTTGTACATGCCTGCCTTCTTCAAGTGATTGGAATTTTGAACTGAACCCTTTATTTCATTCACTGTGGTAAATAAAGGGTTCAATTCCAAATTCCACTCACCTGAAGAAGGTTGGAGTGTACAACAGTTAAAACGTGAATATGGCAATAAAGATGAGGGCAACAGTCTGAAAAATGTAAATATAAATAATTACAATACCTCATCACATATAGACAGACATGTATAAATTGTAATGAAAAATCAATTTATATTGACTATACATATATTATCAGTTTTTCTTTCTTTCTCTGTTTTGGTAACCAGCATTCTTTTTGAAAGATATTTCAGTGATTAAATATTAGAGATGGAAAATTATAGTTTAGCTTAAAATTTAAAATAAGATTGAATATCCAAAAATGTTTTGTTTTAATTAATAATTTATTTTAACATATTAATATATTTACATAGACAAAAATGGAGATTGGAAATTTTATTGTATTTATGATACAAATATATACTGTGCATAAAGGAACTTAGTAGTAATTGTAGTTGAATAGCATTTGAGACAAAATAGTATTGATTACTCCAAATTTTAATGGCTTGTTTGATATAACATGTTAACAGAAGAAAATAAATTTTCCTCACAGATAAGGTAGAATAATTGTCTGCCCTTGCAATAGATTCTTCTGGAAGATGTCTTTGTGCAATTATTTTCCTTTTTTTTTTTTTTATCAGCTTTTCTAATCACACATACAATCTGAACATGCAAAGTTTGAAATATAAAGGGAAACAAGGATGTTTTTTTTTTTTTTTTTTTTCTGACAAGTTACTTGCTTTCCTTGCAGATATCTTGTCTGTTAAATATAGAAAGTAGGTCTTTGCATGAAAGTTATTTTACACTTTCTGTTGAAGCCAATATTAAAGAAAAAGTAGCATTAGGGTATTGTCATGCTCTATATAACTACTAATATATCAACTTTTGCTTCATATCTGTTCCCCTTTAGGGTGAAAATTTAAAAATATTTTGTATTCATTCTTAGATTGCAGATTAACTTATTGAAAAGTTAAGGAAAATTGAAAATGTCATAATCTAAGCATTTAAATGAATTCCACCTTAAAAAATCCTCAGAATGTATAGAAAATGTATGAGTTCATTTAAAATCTTGATTTATTATATTATATAGGAATTCTTCAGGTGAACCTCAGAAGAAAATATGATTGCCTTTGTATCAACATGATCTCGCTTGTCATTCGGAATTTTGTCCTTGATATTAAATCTAATACTAGATTCAAAATCTTTTGATACTCTTATAGAATAGACAAATTTTCTAATTTGATCAAAATTACCCCCCCCACTTTTTTTTTTTTTTTTTTTTATACTCCTTACGATTTCATCTTATAAAAACCTTGAGAGAGAACTTGTACCAAAATGCTTAAAAGTAAAACATTTACCTGTTTATATACATTATTTCTTTCCAATGTAATCATAATCTATGTGATTGAGTATTGTAAGGGTGTCTTTTACTTTTTTGAAAAAAAATCAAATGGTGAAAAAAGTACAATTAAAATTAATGTAATTCAAAAACTCATTGCTGTCATATTTTCCTTAAGCTTTTTTTTTTTTTTTTGTCCTTATTTTGCCTTGAATTACAGTGGCATAAATGATATGTAAGATTTTCGCACCATGTTAAGCTATGAACATTTCTTGTTAGAAAATATAAATAGAATACATTAAAATTGTAGGGATTCTTTTAAGTGAGTACACTATATAAAAGGAATTGAGAGTAATGTTTTTGAAGAGATAGCACCTTTCAAGAATTTTTTCATTCTTCATGAATTGCAATTTATAAATTTAGTTCCCAAAATCATTTTATGGTTATATTTTGAATTACAATTTTTGTTCTTTTAATTTTCCAGTTGTGCATATTCTTAAAGTTTGATTTAAGTATCAGAATAATTGTTTTAAAATGGGTATACATCTAAATTATGATGCTTTTTGCTCACATTTAAAAAAAATTAGTTTGCTTTTTGCAGGTCTCATCTATGAAGAGTGGTTTGTTAGCAATATCACAGGAAGCTCTCATCTGTGGAAATATCAGCTACCATGAGTATAATGGTATTCTTGTGGACCAAGAAGAGAGAGAAAAACTGTCTCGAAGTTTAGGACCGGCAAACAAAGTGTGTACTCAACTTTTACAATTGTTAAATCATTATTTTAAAACATTATGAACTCTTGAATTATAATTTTCTTAAAAATCATGCTAAATATGTAAGTTAAAGAATTTGAGAAATAATTGGAAAAAAACAAAAACAAATGAATGCTATTATTTTTCTAGTGCTTTACAGTCAACTTACTCTTGGCTTTTATATAATTTATACAGTGTTTTCTTCAAAATATCTGCATATATTGTTCAATTTTGTCAGTCCTTAATTGCACAAAGCAAATTTACATTAAATTCTTTTTTCTAATTTGCAATAAAATGGTAAAAACTGGAGAAAGCATTTTTTTTTCTTTGGACAAAATTGATAAAAAAGAAAATACCTATAGCTTTAATTACTTTGCATATGCAAAGTAATTAAAGCTATAGATATTTTCTTTTTTATCAATTTTGTTCATAAAAAACCCAAAACTTTCCAGCCACTCTTAGATTTACAGAGAACTCATTAAATTCTTCTCTACATTTTGATTTATGGTTCAGAATTTTGATGGCATCTGCATAATTCATTTTATCCAGTCTTTTCATTTTTTTTTGGTAATGAGTTATTTTTCTAGTGATGGTTAAACAGAAACATTTAAATTTCATTTAATATATCTACTGCTTCTATAAATTGCTGTTAATGCTTAATTTTGTGTTTCTTAACAGAATGGCTAACTTAACATACAGAACAATTAACTTTACAATATTTCTACATGAAATAAACGCTGCTTTTGATTGGTTGACACCTGATACATACTTCCAGCACGAAAAGGAAAAGCTAATCTTCCATTTCAAATTGTGTGTTTTAATATATATATATATATATATAGTTGCACTTGTGTAATACATTTTAAGTGCTTTTTACTATATTTGCTTTTCAGGTCATGTTTCTACGTAATCATGGTGTGGTGGCTTGTGGTGAATCAGTGGAAGAAGCTTTTCACTATGCAGTAAATGTAATGAGAGCCTGTGAAACTCAGGTATTTAGACAGATGTTTTTTAACAATGCACTATCTCTGGAACTGCACTTCATCATTGTTTTCATCCACAGACATTTATTTTGCAGTGTATACCTTATTTGTTCAATTGCCTGAAATATTGTGAAAATCAGTATTACAGGAAAGTAAATTTAATAATGTTGAATAATATGAATATTTCAGGAGCAATATCAGTATATCTTTTGTATTATAAATAAGTTATTTTGTCAGTGTACTATTGAAAGAAATTACTTAAGTCCTTTACTGTATTTACCAAAAATGTTTTGGTCAATTCAGCATTTTCTTAGAAAAATGCAAATCATTTGAGGAAAAACATGACTGCAAATGTTTTTACCAAGATAATTCTTGCTGCCAACAGTTTGAAGTATTAAAACTGATATTAAATATAGATAAATTTAGTCAATTTGGATTTTTGTTTTGAACTTTATACTTATAAGTAAAGTAAATCAATTCCTAAAAGTGATGATTAATTTTACTATTGCTCATTTTTTGTTTATTTTATTTAAATTGCCTTTTAATATAGTTGAATTATAATAGTTTATCATGTCCTTCTGTTGGATTTCATGTTGTCCTTTTATAGGCATTCATTTCTATTAACATATATTTACATGCACATATGATATGCTATCCAGAATGTCAGGAAATCTGAACAACACAAACAAAACAAATGTATAGTTTTTTACTGTTGCCTTTTGTGAGTCTGACTTATAAATAGAATAGTGAATATATTGACTTGTCGTTGGATTTTAAACTATAATAGATGTTACATTATTTTAGTCTCTTTGTATTTTTAAAGGCTTGTATGTCTTTTATTTTTAATATTATTGCTTTATTTACTTAAAAAAATATAAAACATGTTTTAGTAAAAATCAAATATCTTAGTTTTGTCTCTTTTAACTCTGTAATCATGTTGAAATAATTGGCCAGATAATGTTCAGAAGTAACATCTATAAACTAAAAATGAGAATAGAATTGCAAATCATAAAAAAGGAAATTAGTTCTCAGCTCAACCTACTTGCTAAATGATCAGCCATTTTTTTTTTTTTTTTATATATATATATATAAAAAGGATTCATTAAGCTGATAATTTTTCAGCACTTCCTAATAAGACATTTATTGTGCTAAAAAGAATTCTAAACACTTAGGAGATAAACTTGATTCATGTGTTTCTTTGTTCCAGATCAGTGCTATGCCTGCTGGTTTAGACAACTTGATTCTTGTTGATTCTGATATACAAAAGAAAACTTTCGGACTGGGCAGTCAAGGAGGTGGTGGTGTAGATACCAGTGGCCGAAAATGGAAGACAGGAGAACTAGAATTTGAAGCTCTCATGCGCATGTTAGACAACTCTGTATGTACATTCTGATTTTTAAATCATTTTGATAAAAAAGAAAAAAAAAAAAGTCTGAAATTCTGTAATGTATTATTGCCCTTAAGAGTTATTCAAACTAGTATTCTCATCCTTGACATTTTTATTATTATTATATCTCTAATGTTCCACCTATATTGTAAGGAGAAACTGCATAACAATGCCACCACCTGAGATAACTTCTTAAAGTACAAGTCAATTGAAATAAATTGTAATTTTTAGACTAAAAAGAGAAATAAATAATTCAATACAACCATAAGATACATAAAATACAACCTTAGCATTAATATTTTTTTCTTTCAACTATCTATTGTTTCACCTCCTAGGGTTTCCGTACTGGTTATATCTACCGTAATCCACTAATCAAGCAGGAGAAAGACCATGGAAACAGTGATATTGAGGTACCACCCACATCCAGCTCGTTCACCTATGTATATGATGGTGAAGTTGAACGCTCCAAGTATGTGTAAGTATTATCCATATCAAGTATCAGGTAACATTATTAAATTAATAAAGTTTGCTAATAAAATATTGAACTATTATTTTATTGTTTTGTTTGGGAAGAGTGCAAAAGTACTGCAATATATCTGTTCAAATTTAGATACAACTTGTTTTCAAAATGTCATAGTTAAATACTAAGTGTTATGAATACTTCAAATTTTCATTAGTATTTTATATTTCATATTATTACTTATCTTAATAACATTATGGGTGGTTCAGTTTGAATAGTATATGATCCCCAGTCATGGAACACATAACACCCTCACTCACCTGGTTAGTAACAGAATTCAGGAAGTAAATTTTGTCTCAAACAGTTCATGTTGAAGATGATTTTGGCAATATGTTGCAGCAACCATGGATTCTATGTTTGGTTGAAAATCTTGTAAATTAGCCAGCCTCAGCACAAACTGTAAATGTTCGTCAGTTAGCCTTGAGTGCAATACATATTTATTTAGTTTCATTGTTGAGAAAAACTGTTCACAAGTTATGTTTCCAAACATGGCTATAATGTGCATAGATGAGGAAAACAGTTTGGGAAATCTTTCCTTGGAAGGAACTGTTAAAAATCAGGAACCCCAACCTCTGCATATTTCTGCTTCAATATGGTATTGCATTGAATCTCCACCATCTGAAATTCCTCAGAAACAGTATCGCCATCCATAGCCAATGGAATAGCAGAAAGCATAAATTGCCTTTCTAATGACAGAAAATATTGAAAAGATCAAATTCTACATGCAGTTTTAAAATTATATTTGCATGTTCTTTCAAGAACTTTGGATCATCCCATTTCAAGGCTTGAAATGGGATAAGTTTCTGCCTTCAAAATGTTTTGCCCACAACAGAATTTTACATTTGAAAGCCTTTATACTGTTGTACATCATTGTTATTACCTGCTTTGGTTCATGGAGCTTCAAGTTTAGAAGGTTAAGATCAGTGAGAAATGCAAGCTTACAAAGATTGGATCACTTGGGAATGTCTTTTCTTTTCATTGCCAAGAACAACCCAATCTTGTCTCTCAAAGCAAAAAACCCCTTTAAAATGACTGAACCACTTTATTTCCAAATGGTACAGAAACTCTCCATATTCATGTTAGTGGAGAAAAAAATGAACTGTTGGTAGTATATAGTGAATACATCTTATTTATATTTAATCTAATATATACAGTATATCTGTATAAAATTGATAATTTTCACAACTACTTACATTAGGATTTTCCATCTCTAATACTTTTCCACACAGTGCCTCTTATCTGTTATCCATTGTAGAATGCAATGGATGGACAAACCAAGACTGTTCAATTTTTATTTAAATGGTCAATTAAACCCACCTTTTCAGAGAACATTGCAGATGCACTGTCTGTTGTCAATGATATGAGTTTTGACCAATCCAATCTTGTACACTCAATGTGCTTTTCCTATTCATTCAATATATCCTACCCCGTCGCTGTTCCTTTCAGAGGTAGTAAATCTAATAATTCTTCAGTAACCTTAAATTTTTGTTGACTTTTCTCTGATAAAGAAAGCACAATAAGCAGTCCTTGTAATGTCTGTACTTTCATCAAGTGCAATGGAAATTTTTTTCAATATTTGAAAGTGGTAGTCTTTTGCAAGTATGAATTAATTGCTAAGTCAGTGATACAACTGGCAACAGTATTAGGTGACAAGCTGATGCTTTCAAATATTTTCCTTTTCTCAGGACAGAATTGTACTAGTCTTTAAATGAGCAGTCTTTGATGAAAGTTGAAAAGAAAGGACTGTTCTTCAAAACCATTCAATCTTTTCTTCCTTTATCTTTCCAGTGACTACATCTTACAGAAAAGGGGATGTGTTGTTTGCCACTTTATGCTATATTTTGTTCACACAGCAATGTTATGCAAATATCTCAAGCATTGTACTTTATCCTTACCTTAGTCACACAATACAAATATTCCCAATCTTGAAAAGTTAATTTCTCTTTGGCAATTTTCACTTTCTTTGACATAGTCAACATTTTTTTTTCAATTATGTAGTTGTCATTCTTAAAATTTCAATTTATTTAACAACCACCTCTCAGATCTCTTTCTAACATGATTTTCTGTTATTTGTGTTAGTTGTCTTTCACCTTGTATATTCCTTCTCTTGTTAGGGAAAAGAATTGTCATTTTCTGTTATGTCTGTTAAAAAAAACTGGAAAAAAAACCCCATAATTTTCTGTTTTGTGTGTAGTTCCATTATTTCACTCCCTCCCACTTGCCAATATGAATAGCTGAATTTATTCCTTCTCAATTTATAGGGATGTGGGGGGGGTGCTTTCCATTTCCCCTTGTTTCACATATTTGTATTGCATCTTAATTGTTCCTCCACATGTAATAAGTTCCCAAAACACGTTATCATTTCACATTTCATATTCTTATCAAGACTGGTTTTTAAATGTATATAAAAATTGGATACCTATTTCATTTCCACAGTCATTAATATGAATTGTCAAATTTATTTCTTACAAATGTAATAAAGGAACTCAGATTGTTGCAAAGTACATTTATACCAGCTTGTCAAGTAGCAGATGAAGAATATGTGGTAGTAGAGGGGTAAAGATTTTTCCTTCTGTGAAGTGGAAATAAAACAGACCCTGTTGATGTTAAAATTGATTAACTGTTTGCATTCAGAGGGTAGGTCAACTTAATACTACTACTACTGAAATAGTATGGGAAGGACTAGTATTCTTACAGTGTTTCTATTTAACTTATCACTCAGTGTGATAATGGGAAATCCAACATCACTAAAATACTGTGTGCATTGGTAGTGTAGAAGGACTTTGTGTCAATATGATGGAATTTTATAATGTATCACCGAAAATATTTTAAAGTACAACTTTATTATTTTTGACAGATCGCCATTACGTACAGCACTGGAGCGACAAAAGCAACAACAATATAAAGCTGGCTGGCTAATCTCTCCCAACACCTACAAGAAACAAGAAATTGATGAGATAGGTACCCCAAACCCAAAGAAAATAACAAAGGTAAACATTTTTCCATGGTTTTAATCAGAATAAAAATATTTTTCTGATTTTTTTTCTCTTGGATTATTTTTGTTGATGTAATTTGATACAACTGAGTATTTCCAGAATTATTACGTTGAGTCATAAATAATTTCCATTTTTTTATCAACTTTATTCTTTGAAAAATAAAGTACAATTATATTATATATTCACCATTATTTCCATTAATAATACTCAAGTCAATTCCACCACCCACACAACATTATCTTCCATGGATCTCAGCTTTTTGGAGTGGTTGTGGAGATTTATCCTTGTCAATCCACTAACCACTGTTGTGTCAAATATTATTGCATGTAACCCATTTTTCATCTCCTTTTATTTAAGAAATAGTTAGGAGGATACATTCATCAGTGCAATTGGTTCCCTAAAATGGAAATTACTTATAACTCAAAACCTAATAGTTTTACTTGTGAATTAAGCTTTAAGAAGCAATAAAACTGTTTTCATAAAAATATAGATATTTTCTTTATTTTTAGTGGGTTTCTGAGGGCACTGATGGTAAGAGTACAAATGTGAAGATTGAAAATCCCAACCAATTTGCACCACAAGGGACCAATCCCAAAGAATTCAGAGAAAAACAAAAACAGGTAAATATATTCACAGCAATGCATTCTCTTTTTAATTAAAAAAAGCACTTTGAGGTTTTTTTTTTTTTTTTTTTTTTATTATTATTATTAACTTCTGCATTTGAACATATTTATCAGCCTGAGTCATGAGATTTTCCATGAACATAGTCTTTAGAGTTTTTTGGGTTTAACAGGTATATGCAATCTGTTTTGGTATTACTGACTTTGGAATTTTTTTTTTTTTAAAGAAACTTCTTTCAATGCCCTCACATGTATATCTTCTCTAACATGCAGAATCAAGTACCAGTTTATTTTGTCTGTCTTTTGATAAGTTGAATGTGCACTTAAAAATCATGGTGATATCATCCATTCACTTCCCTCTTCATTGAGTAGCTACTGCAAAATTACTTTAAAAAAAGAAAAACTAGATTTACTCTGGTCTTTCATACTAGTTATATGCTATCTCCTCATTGATAGGCCAAGTTTAATATTTTATATAAAAAGTGTAAATTAGATTTTATATTTTCTTTGATGAAAAATAATTTCTACCTTTTTATTTCAGATCCGCAAGGATTACTATGAAGAAAGAGTGCATGCAGGTCCTCAGTCCAGGGTTTTGGAAGGTGCTACTTGGGAAGACGCTCAGAAAATGAAAGTATGATTACAATTTCACGATTGTTTGAAATAAATTTTCAGACATGAAGAGAAACTTTTAAAATTACATCTACTTCCTGTTTTTAATGCCTGTACATTTTCTTGATTCTTACAAGTTTAAAATCTTTAAATTGGTTTTCAATCAGTGAATGCTACCTGATAAATTTGAGTAACACCAGTCATTATGTAGGTACACCAATAAATCCATAGCCATCAAAGTATTTAATTTATACAACAAATACTGTATTTGACGGCATATAAGTGTGTCAACAGGGCAAATCAAGAAAAAATTAGTAATTAGTAAAATTATTAGTAAATGGTACAGCTTAGGCTATATTTATGAAGTATTATCTTTGGTTAAACAAGCCATGATTTACAATTAAACAAGAAATAATAGGAAAAAAAATAACATAAGCCTATGAAAGCTTTATTGTATCCAAAGGTAAGAAAACAAAATAAAAATCAAGCAATTATTACAATTGAGCAAAACGGTACAGTTACCATTAAAAATTTTATTCATCTTTAAGTCCATACAATTTGTCGTCTTTGTTACCAAAACTTTGATACTCATTTTCAAATCATTATTAAATAATGCATCATCTTCCAATCCATTGAGAGCGTTGCTAATGCCACACTTTTTAAATGATTTCACAATTTCTAGTCTTATATTATCCCAAGCTTGCTTCACCCATTCACAGACTTGTGCAATGCTGGGTCTTTTTATTCTTCCTGTAAGTGTAAGGTCATGATCAGGCATTGCCATCCATGTGTTCTATTGTTCCTTCATGTTTTGTTTGAATGGTCTATTCAAAGACACATCCAAAGGTTGCAACTGACTTGTTAGTCCACCAGGAATAACTGCTATCTCTGTCTTCAATTCTGCCATTTTCTTTTTAATGCATTCAGTCCTATGCACTCAGAACTGATCCCAAACCAAAAGAGAGGGCTTTTGTAATAGTCCTTCAGAATGTATTTCCCATACAACTTGTAGCCATAACTATAGACCAGCTTTGTCCATCCAGCCTTTTGGATGAACATGCATGCCTTTTGGTTTTTATCTTTCAATGTAGTTTTTCTCTTAAAAATCAGAAAACGAGGCAGTTATGTGTCATCAGTGCAACATGCAAGAATGACTGTATAATGGGTCTTCTCATGGTTTTTGGTTTTTATTGTAATAGTCTTGGATCCCTTAATACTCAGTTTTGTTTGATGGAACATCAAATGTTAGTGGGACTTCATCCATATTTTCTATCTGGCCTAGTTCAAAAGGAGTTCTTTTTCAAGTATGTATAACAAGTTTATGAAACTTTACTATTTTGTCATTATAATCAGCTGGCATTCTCTGTGCAATTGATGTTTTTGTACACATTGACAAACTTTCCGGTTTCATAAAATAACACCATCCTTCTGTTCCTAGAAAGTTTTGAATCCCCCTTTTTGTTCACTAATCTTCTAACCTCATTCCTTATCATTTTTGTAGTAATGATTCTGCCTGTACTTCTCTCATATGCAACCCACATTTTAATTTCCTCTTCAATTTCAGGCCAGTGTGGGGCTGGGTGGTGAAGGTTACAGTTTCCTTTCTTTGCTGCCTGTAGGTTATTTTCCTGCAACTGCCAGTAATATATAATTTTTTTCTCTAGGTGGAGAACCAAAATATTTTGCAGCTGCTCTATTTCCATGCTCTTTAGCATAGTTTATTATATGAAACAATAAGTGTAGCTTAACCTCTCTCTTGCTGTTTTATCTGAAGGAGTGAAAATCGGTCAAAAATTTTCCTTTATATGATCTGTACAACCTGTGTCTTGTAAATGTCTTAGTGGAATAATTAGGATATAAAAATTTTGATTGTATTTATACTAATGCAACCAGAAGTTAGAACAAGAAAAATATTAATGAAACAAATATATTTTACAAATATGTAATTTGAATTTATTACATATAATTTTAGTAAAACAAAATACTAATATTAAACGTGATGAAATTAATATAATGAATATTATCAATGATAACACTTTTAATCTGCATAATAGCCTTTTAAATAATGACAATAGGTGTATGAAAGTTACTCTAAAGTCCGAGCTAATAGGAGTTGCCAGGTAGCTAATTTCAGCCGACTATCACAAATTTTAAACCTACATATGGCATATGACGCAGATATTTTTAGTAAAAAAAAGAAGCATGACTTGTATGCTGTCAAATACGGTAATTATTTTTCCTTTTTAACCATTGATCACATTGATGTAATGAAAATTTCAGATTAAATTTCAGCTTATGTCAGTTGATGAATTGAACTACCTTTTGCATTTAACCAAAAAGGATTGTGTTATTTTTATTTTAGCTAAAAATATCACTTTTTTTTTTTTGTCCAATTCTCTGTAATTCTTGCATATTATCAATGTCAGTATCTGAATCATTGGTGAAATATCTCAACAACCACTCCAGAGCAATCATTACTTTCAGTGCTTATATAACCATTTATGAATTGTCTTGAATCACTTGCTGATTTACTGCTAGAAAATTCAGAATAGACATTTTGCCATCAGCTGCACACAAAGGTTTAACTGACAAAAAAGACATTTTTCTAGCGGAAATGATTTTATGTAAAAAAAAATTAAAAAAAAAAAAAAAATTTGTAAAATTTTAAGATTATTTATATGAAGAAATATAATGCTTAAAAATATTACTTGTTAATAATACTTAATGCATTACTAATGCTTAAAAAAATATTACTTACATTTTTGGAGTATTTCCAATAATTTAATACAAAATTGTGCTTCTATCAGAAATAACATTTGAGGATTACTGCTAATGTATTTTGTAGATAGAATAACATGACTTTGATTTTACATATAATATGAGTTTTGAATTGAGAAATTATGAAAATCTAACACTTTCGCCCCGGCCCCTCAACCTCCGGCATCCTACTCTTGGGGTTGAAGTGTCTACTTGGTCCTAACCGAACTTAAGGGAGTGGCCATAGGTCCTCTGAGCATCCGTAGATTATTTGACTGGTCCGTTGGTTTAATCCTGCTTCCTGTTCACGTGATTTGTTTGATCCAGAAAGCAGAAATGATGTACGTCCATTCACAGTCGACTGAAGATGTAGACGCAGCTGGGGAGCCTGCGCTAAGAAATTTAGAATGCAGCAAAAAAAAAAAAAAATATCTGCAGAAAGCTGGACAAACATCGATTTAATGGTTGAATTGGTAATGTCTTTTATATAGTAGAGAAGAGAAACGGGTTACAGAAAAGAAAAGTAAAAAAAACAAAAAAAAACTCATATGCTGGATTCTAGACAGAGAGAGAGAGTGTATGTGATTATCTTGTTGTTAAATCATCTCAAAATGATATGACTCTTGTGATGGAGAGATAAAGATTTCTGTGTGGGGCTTACAGTTATAGTGGCGTTCATCCTCCTAACGCTCGCCCAGGCCAATTTTCTCCATCTATCTTTTTCAGCATAACTGCACATTTATGTAGATAAACCAGGCTGGTTATAACTGACCCTTGGCCCTACTACTTTGCATGCAATTATCATGGGGTTCAGGCTGCTTCAACCAAAATCATGTGAATTCCAAAGTTCCTTCTAGCTTACTCAGCTCTATTTCAATTTTTAATTGATAAAAATTATCTCGACCATTTCCATTGTCTACTGATGACCCATATTCAATGGGTACAACTTCTTCCTTAGATCAGATTTCCCCATCGGTAAACAAAATGCTCTGATTTAATTTCGCCATTCAAATCTACTCCAATTTCATTAAAAAAAAAAAAAAATATACGTGTGTGTGTTACCCAGACTCTCTCTCTCTGTCACAGAAGTTCATTGGTATACTGAGCTTTATAGATATAAATTATCTCATGTCACCAAATAGAATCATTGTTTAATCTTTTTTCAAAGTATTAATCTTACCTTGAAGTAATCTGATGTAGCATTCATTTCAAGTATTCTCATCTTATATAATACTCATTAGCCCACAGCATTCTTTAGTAATATATGCTGGATATTGAATAATTTCTTTTGATAAGTGTTTCTTTAAGAATTCTTAAATTTAATTTATAATAAACTGCTAAATAATACTAAGAATATTATGAAGGGAAACTGAAAAGTTCTTAACTGACCCACTTATTAATTCTTGATCAGGTTCACAATTTTTCAGCATCCCTTGTATTTTAAATATCCTATCAAAGGAAGTTTATGATAATTAGTTTTTATTGTTCACATGTTTAACATGAATCTTTTGTAAATTTTTTGTTAATGAAAAAGTTTGCCATGTGCACTGGTTAAATCAAGTCATATGTTGAAAACAGATGGATTGAAACATGTGAAGTCATTTGTTGTAAATTTCTTTTCTTTTCTTAATCATGTCTCTCCACTAAATTTCTTTTCTATCGTGGTGATATAACTTTGAGAAAGACAGTGGAGTGGTTACTTATTGCCTTCTCTATTGTTTTGAATTTAGATTAATGCTTCTCTTAGACTTGCTGCCATCCAAAGCTAGAGAGTCCATATATAGTCTATTTAGTAAGATGAAAGAGATGGTTTCATGCCTTTTGCAAGTGCATTTATGTGAACGTAAAGGCAGCAAACAAGGCTAGAATTTGAACATTGTTTGCTGATTCCATTTTCTGGTCCATTTACCTGCACATATCACTAATTAAAAAGTACAACAATTAAGTTCATTAGTAAAATGTACTAAAATTTTATTTTCTTTATTTCACCTTTTTCTATATTTATTCTTTAAAGTTATCAAATATTTCCTTTTATTTTTTTTTTTTTTTACTCTTAGGATGGTACATTGAGCAGTGCATCTGACAGTGTAATGATTGTGGGTGCTGCATCTAAAGGTATTATTCAGCGTGACCATCAACATAATGCTGTTGTCTACAAGTCACTTTACTCTCCTAACCCATTTGAGAACATCTCAGAAGAAGAACTCGCTAGATATAAGGAAAAAGTAGAAGGTAAAACAAAAGGGGAACCAGGTAAGTGACTATTTCCTTTAATATTGAAAAAAAAAAACAAATGTAGGTATTATGGTATAATCTTATATATTATAATAAGAGTAAAAAGTAATCTTTTAATAAAATTGTAGTATAAAAATCAAATTCTTTCAGTTTTTTAAATTTAAAGATTTCTTTTTGATTCATACCTTTTTATTCATAAAAATATAATTATATACAAATGTTGGTAAATGCAGGAATGCATTTTCAAAGCTCATACCGTTTTTTTTTTTTTTTCATCTATTTAGTTTGATTTATTGGCAGTTGTTTGACTGCAGAAATAAGTTTTTATAATTTTAAGTGTCCTTTACCTTGCATTGAAATATAAATTGAGTATTGTATTTTAATTGCTGTTTATGTGCTGCAGATTCTGAAGATACAGAACCTGCCCCTGATGGTCGCCTTATCTCCACAGAAGAAAGGATGCAGCAAATTCGTAATGAGGGAACTGACTTGAAAACAGAAGCTGAAGCTGGTGTGTATTAAGGATTTCTTTTTTTAAGAGTTAAATATTAGTTAAATATATTTCCATAACTTCATTTCTCTACGACTCGCATATTTAGGCCTTAGAATTTTTTTAATGAACCAATTATTCTTAGTGCATGTATTTCAATTTTAGAAGACTGTTGAACCTGAACCCTGAATAATTATTATTAATACTTAAAAAAAAAAATCTGTTTTAATAACTTGTTTAAATTTTTTTTTAATTCCAAAAAAATATTTTCTGGATATTATTTCCCAGAATTTTTTATTTTCTGTCAATTGCATTTATTTTTTTATTTTTTTCAGTTAAACATGAGTAGCCACAATATTTTTCATTTGGATTTCTTTTATCACATTTTTAAAAATCTACACTTACTTTGTATTTTTCTCTTTTGAATTTCTCTGATAAATATAAACCATTTTATAAATAATATTTTATTGCATCATTAAAGAATTAAGTAATAATAATGTCATATCTTGCACTGGTTAACTAGTTGGGAAAATATTAAGCTGTATCTAATAGTTTTATATTTAAAAGAAACACAGTCATTATTTTATTCAACAAACATGAGATTTGTTTTAATAATGCGCTTTTGCATTTTAACCTGGATTAAACTGTTAACTTTTCCTTATTGTTATATTGTCAGAGACAAAGAATTCAATTTCTTTTTTTTGTTTCCTGTTTAATGTTTGTACTCTCTGAACTATAACGATTCAGATTCACATGTGCATTGTTAAATCACAGATGAAAATAGAAAAACAGTAATATATTAATTCTTGAATCCTGAACAAAGCTACATAGAGTACACCCATTAAATAGTTTAAGTGATTAGCAAATTTTGAAAAAAATACTTGAAGCCATTGATAGTTGTAGTTGTTCAGCAAAAGTCAAAGGAAATTCTATACATTCCTTTTATTATTTGCCTTTGTTGATATGTTCAATTTATAATGTAACATTTTGCTGTTGAAATTTTAACATTGGTATTTACAAATGTTGCATAAACAAAAATGAAAACCATAACATCTTAATTTTTCTAATACGTATGAATGCTATATGCATGTATTTGTGGCATTATTCAGTCTCAAGAAATTGTGTAAAGGAGAACAGAACTGTATTCCTCTTTGTTTCCATTAATATTACAATCTTATAAATTTATATTCATTTGTGTTCAGCTTCATGACTAAGAGTCTGTCGAATTGGTTTGTTTTTTACCAAATGAGTTGGACAGATGCTTCTTGCCTAAGCAATTTTTCTATGTTAATGTCTTAAAGTTACTGAATATTTTTGCTAAACTGTTTTTAAAAGTGTGTATATATGAAAATCAATGATTGTGGAAGAATATTTTCATGTTATGTGTTTTGACCTAAAGGATGAAATGTCACACATTTTTTCCACTTTGTCATTGATTTTCCTAACATTGTTCTGGTATATAAAATATATATATATATATATATATATATATATATATATATATATATAATTCTATAATTGAAACCTATTACTAGTTTCTGGGAAGGATTTTTGCTTTTATGAAGCTACAAGATTTGTAAGTTATAAGTTTTTGCAATTTGCTTTTAAGGAATTTTATTTAATTACAAAAAAATCTATCAAATTAATTTTAGTACATATTTCTTAAAACATTTCATCTGCTGGTGGTTAATCTAAAATTACTAAATTTGCAATTTGAAATTAAGAAGTATATTTACTTCATGATAATGTTATTTTATTTCATTTTTATAAAGCTGTTTAAGTTAATCACCTTTATTACCTTTTTGCACCAGTAAGTTTATGCTTCACAAATGTGTGTGTGTGTATATATATATATATATATATATATATATATATATATATATATATTCGAATACAAGGTTACTATAGATGGAATAAAATTCCAGTAACCAAAAACAATATTTTTAAATAACATACTTATAATTTTTACACACACACATATATATATATATATATATATATCATTTTATCCTTAGAAAATTGTTTTACTTTAATTAAGGCTGAGCACATATATAAATCAGTTTGTTTCACTGGTTTTATAGAGATATGTTGCATTATCTTCAGTCTTAGAATTGTTTTTTTATCAGTATCTTTATCCTGGAAAAAATTAAAGCTAGCATATATGAGGAGGTGCTGAAATGTTATAGGCATGTCCAAGAAGCTTTAAAAAAATTTTGATGCCTGATCACATTTTTGGCTGTGAACTTTTCAATATACTTCTATGTGTGTTACTGATTATAGGTACAGATACCAATACAGAAAACAGAAGCAATGAAATTCAGCTTCATACTCATTCACTTGGGAAAGGCATGAATCCATATTTATCTACTCTGTCTTATTGCCTGATGTTTTGACAAAATCTTAACCACTGGTGTGCTGTAATGGGTAATACAGAAAAGATCAGATGAATGAGCACTTAGGCAATCAAGGCAATTGAATCAAAACACTATTATCCTGATAATCTCTAATCATATATTTGGCTGAATCATTAATGATGATAATATATCCCTAACATAGTTTAATATTTTATTTTCATTTTTAAGATGAGGAATTGTTAGTATACTTTGATTTATCCAAACTATTCTTTTCATCTTTGATTGTTATAGATGTTATTGACAAAGTGTTTCAACCTCTGGTCATCTTCAAATGTCCATTATTTTGGTTGATTGAAAATATCTTGTCTGGGTTGATTATTGTTTAATATATTGCAGAAATGTTTTATTTCCTTTTTGCTCTTACAAAAAAAATTATTGAAATTATACAATTTTTATTTTGTTTATTTCTTACATTTATTTAAATATATATGTAAATATGTATTTTTAATTAGTACAGGTTAGTTTTGTTTTAAATTTAGAAAATAAATTAGTTTTTGATAAATTTGTGGTATAGAATTAATTGGTTCTTTTTAATCACTAATAATCTAAAAATGTAAAAAATACTTAATTATAACAAACTTGTTAGCATTTTTTTCATTTATGAGAAAAATAGTAACATAACAGAAATGAAACTAATAAAACATGACTATGAGATAGCTGATTTCTGGTGTTTCTCTATTGTAATATGGTAATGGTTTTTATGCACATTGCTTTCTTTGTTTCAGAGATTTATCCTGCATTTCTAGTTTTTATTATGCACGCAGTTCTGTTTTCCTTTTATTATTAGACTGACCTACTAAACCTTTATAGCCAGTCAGCACAGTAAATGTAATATTAACTTTATTTTCATCATCTGTGAATGTGTCTTCATGATCATTACTCATTTTCTTCATTCTTCATGATAGTATTTGACTGTCTACTAACTATTTTGCCAGCATTAATCATTTGCTTTATTTATTGATCATCATTACCATCTGCTTTCATTAAGTTATTTTATCAGCCACTTTATGATGAAGCAACAGACTAAAGTAGTTCGATAAAATCAAAAGTAATCACAATAACTTTAGTTAGACATCATGTTTTATTGAGGCATAAGTGTCATTCATGGAAAATAAGACTAATAAGAATTACATACTTTCTATCTAATGTTAGAAAAATTCACATAATTTAAATTACTGAAATGTTAATTAGATCAGTATTTAAAATTCATGTATAAATTTTAGTTCATACATTTTCTAAAAGCTTTAGAATGAAATAATAATAGTAGTGATTTGTTATCAGAATTAAATTTGGTTGGTTCCATTATTTTGGAGATGCAAAATTTTTAAATTTTTTTTCATGTGTTGAACAGAATTTCCTGACAACACAGTTCCAGTGTTAGTAATATACTTGCTAGTAATCCTTTGAGAAAGTTTTTAGATTTTGCTTCAATCTGTAGAATCTCTTTGATTTGGGAAGTTTTTAATGTATTTACTTTTATAATTATTTTGTGGAACCCTTTTATCCGCTAAATCATAAAACAATGAAGATTGAAACTGAATAGTGGTCAGAACAATTTGAACATTCCTGTCTTGATTTGACCAAATTCATTTGCTGTTTCATCTATCAAGTTTTTTGTCCCTAGATAAGAATTAGGTATTCTTAAAGATTATTGTTCAGTTTATTTAAATTTGATAAATGTAGTCTGGTAAAAATATCGGAACTGCTTTGTGTGTGTGCACATATTTTACAAGTGTGTATTATACCAAACTCTATTTTAAGACATGCACCTGGAAACTTAAATTTGTCCTGTATCATTTTTACATTGATTTCTTTGATGTTAATTTGATTAAAAATGTTAATAAGGAAATGAAGTGATTCCAAGGAGCCAAGTTAGACATACATACGTACACACACATATATAAGTTGCATCTGAGTAGCAACTTGTGTTTTTTTTTTTTTTTATTTAGTACCTTCAATTATGCTTTCAGGTTATAAGAAAAGACTGTCGACCTCAAACCAAGGCGAGTAGACTATACATGAATATAAATGTTTATAGTTATTGTTTGTTTTATAAAGGATTTAGTGTTGTGTGTCTGTGCTTTTTACTTTCATCATATTTATTGTACATGTTTGTGTAGTTTTCACTGTAATAGTTGTTGCTAATTTAAGCAATCAATATTTTACTGGATTTTGTTTATAGGAATTGTTTTTAAGTGTTTTACTGAACACATATTAAGGTACTTGTTTATTTTTTATTTTGGATTTCAAGAGATTCATAACTAATAAGTTAATTTATTTGGTTCTTAAAGCTACACTTTCATGTCATAAGTTTATTAAGATATTTATTACTGAATGAAAAATAGTTGTGATTGTTCCAATCAGCAAAAGGGAACAATATTGTTTCTCTTTCATCTAGTAAATTAATAACAAATTATAAAATGAATGCCCACTTGTAATTAGTGATTGCCTTGGAAAATGCATTTTTATTTTATTTTTATTATTCAAGTCCTTCATATTACATTGGTATTCTTCCAAATAAAATTATGGACATTACTTGACATTTGATGAATTTAACTGGAATTTTTATTATAATACAAATTCACCTATTAAGTATAAGTACAAGCA